TCAATGGGGCGGCCCCTACGATTTTCTTCAAAATCAGCATGATGATACTACAGGCCCAGATGACCAATCTGGCTGAAGAAACCCCTATGGGCATTGAAATCTATGGGGTAAAAACGCCCTTGGAAAGTTTTACCCACGCATTTCTGGCAAGACTATCGCACGCATCCCCCCAATATGGGTATCATATGAAAGCCCATGAACACCCAAACAAAATGGTGGGGTAAAATTTACCCATTACCCCATCCAGGGTAAAGTTTACCCAAGATGAAAATTTTCGGTCAATGGGGCGGCCCCTACGATTTTCTTCAAAATCGGCATGGTGATACTACAGGCCCAGATGACCAATCTGGCTGAAGAAACCCCTATGGGCATTGAATTCTATGGGGTAAAAACGCCCTTGGAAAGTTTTACCCACGCATTTCTGGCAAGACTATCGCACGCATCCCCCCAATATGGGTATCATATGAAAGCCCATGAAAACCCAAACAAAATGGTGGGGTAAAATTTACCCATTACCCCATTCAGGGTAAAGTTTACCCAAGATGAAAATTTTCGGTCAATGGGGCGGCCCCTACGATTTTCTTCAAAATCAGTATGATGATACTACAGGCCCAGATGACCAATCTGGCTGAAGAAACCCCTATGGGCATTGAAATCTATGGGGTAAAAACGCCCTTGGAAAGTTTTACTCACGCATTTCTGGCAAGACTATCGCACGCATCCCCCCAATATGGGTATCATATGAAAGCCCATGAAAACCCAAACAAAACGGTGGGGTAAAATTTACCCATTACCCCATCGAGGGTAAAGTTTACCCAAGATGAAAATTTTCGGTCAATGGGGCGGCCCCTACGATTTTCTTCGAAATCAGCATGGTGATACTACAGGCCCAGATGACCAATCTGGCTGAAGAAACCCCTATGGGCATTGAAATCTATGAGGTAAAAACGCCCTTGGAAAGTTTTACCCACGCATTTCTGGCAAGACTATCGCACGCATCCCCCAATATGGGTATCATATGAAAGCCCATGAACACCCAAACAAAATGGTGGGGTAAAATTTACCCATTACCCCATCCAGGGTAAAGTTTACCCAAGATGAAAATTTTCGGTCAATGGGGCGGCCCCTACGATTTTCTTCAAAATCGGCATGGTGATACTACAGGCCCAGATGACCAATCTGGCTGAAGAAACCCCTATGGGCATTGAAATCTATGGGGTAAAAACGCCCTTGGAAAGTTTTACCCACGCATTTCTGGCAAGACTCTGACTATCGCACGCATCCCCCAATATGGGTATCATATGAAAGCCCATGAAAACCCAAACAAAATGGTGGGGTAAAATTTACCCATTACCCCATCCAGGGTAAAGTTTACCCAAGATGAAAATTTTCGGTCAATGGGGCGGCCCCTACGATTTTCTTCAAAATCGGCATGGTGATACTACAGGCCCAGATGACCAATCTGGCTGAAGAAACCCCTATAGGCATTGAGATCTATGGGGTAAATGCGTGGGTAAAACTTTCCAAGGGCGTTTTTACCCCATAGATTTCAATGCCCATAGGGGTTTCTTCAGCCAGATTGGTCATCTGGGCCTGTAGTATCACCATGCCGATTTTGAAGAAATTCGTAGGGGCCGCCCCATTGACCGAAAATTTGCATCTTGGGTAAACTTTACCCTGAATGGGGTAATGGGTAACTTTTACCCCACCATTTTGTTTGGGTTTTCATGGGCTTTCATATGATAACCATATTGGGGGGATGCGTGCGATAGTCTTGCCAGAAATGCGTGGGTAAAACTTTCCAAGGGCGTTTTTACCCCATAGATTTCAATGCCCATAGGGGTTTCTTCAGCCAGATTGGTCATCTGGGCCTGTAGTATCACCATGCCGATTTTGAAGAAAATCGTAGGGGCCGCCCCATTGACCGAAAATTTTCATCTTGGGTAAACTTTACCCTGAATGGGGTAATGGGTAAATTTTACCCCACCATTTTGTTTGGGTTTTCATGGGCTTTCATATGATACCCATATTGGGGGGATGCGTGCGATAGTCTTGCCAGAAATGCGTGGGTAAAACTTTCCAAGGGCGTTTTTACCCCATAGATTTCAATGCCCGTAGGGGTTTCTTCAGCCAGATTGGTCATCTGGGCCTGTAGTATCACCATGCCGATTTTGAAGAAAATCGTAGGGGCCGCCCCATTGACCGAAAATTTTCATCTTGGGTAAACTTTACCCTGGATGGGGTAATGGGTAAATTTTACCCCACCATTTTGTTTGGGTGTTCATGGGCTTTCATATGATACCCATATTGGGGGGATGCGTGCGATAGTCTTGCCAGAAATGCGTGGGTAAAACTTTCCAAGGGCGTTTTTACCCCATAGATTTCAATGCCCATAGGGGTTTCTTCAGCCAGATTGGTCATCTGAGCCTGTAGTATCACCATGCCGATTTTGAAGAAAATCGTAGGGGCCGCCCCATTGACCGAAAATTTTCATCTTGGGTAAACTTTACCCTGGATGGGGTAATGGGTAAATTTTACCCCACCATTTTGTTTGGGTTTTCATGGGCTTTCATATGATACCCATATTGGGGGGATGCGTGCGACAGTCTTGCCAGAAATGCGTGGGTAAAACTTTCCAAGGGCGTTTTTACCCCATAGATTTCAATGCCCATAGGGGTTTCTTCAGCCAGATTGGTCATCTGGGCCTGTAGTATCACCATGCCGATTTTGAAGAAAATCGTAGGGGCCGCCCCATTGACCGAAAATTTTCATCCTGGGTAAATCATGCTTTTGGTTAAATTGATCCGGTATTTAACCATATCATTGGGTCCGGGGTGAAGAGATCTTTCAAATGGTGGTCTTATTTTTCAGTTTCGTCCAGCCGTTTAGGCGTAAAACGGTTTTTAGATTTTTCCCTAGATTTCTAGATTTTTCCCTAGATTTGGCAGCCCCAATCTGGGCTGGGCCGAATGTGGGCTGAATGTGGGCTAACTTCCGTTACATACCTCCGCGGACCTCAAATGTCAACTGACAACGCGTCAAGTATTCCAGGGTTATTGGAACGAGAAGTATATAAATTCAGTACAAATGACGTCAGCTGCTTAAAACAGCATTTGATCTATGCTGTTTTACCGAAAACCGAAAATATCATACGTTATTTTCGGTTGCAGCTAACAATTTTTGACGAAAATATATTTTGAAAACAAATGTGAATGTTTGACCGCATGATCAAAAAGATATACTGAGAAGAAATATAACTTGCTTTATGCCTGCTTTATGCTTAGGAGGGAAAGCAGACCACAAAATTATATTATCGAGCTGTAACTTTAATTTCTGTCCACCACAGGTCAATAACGAGTAGGTGCAAGGTTTTATACTTTCAAAAACAAAACATAGAGTATTAGAATAAAAAATCAAATATCATTTTTTAAAGTCTCAATTTGTGTGCACTTTTCAGGCATGCACATGCATGGACCAGCAGCGGCAAATATCAGGATTTGGGATGGAATCCCGTATATTGATCAAACGGCTCAAGCCCATGCACAAGGCCCCCCATGCATATGACGCAAGGCAGTCTAGGCAGTCCAGCCCGTAGCCGAACGGAACGGCAGGTTATGTTGGAAGCGAGGAAATTCCTCGTGGACGTGGCATCCATTGTCGCTGGTCGTTCTGTTTCATTTCCGTCGATCAATTTCCGTGAGGTGAAGCCTGCATCGAACATTTTGATCGTTGCTCTGCAGCTGAGCTTCAACTTCATCACACTTGATCGAATAATGGAAATATTAAGAGAACTGGATCTCTACAAACCATCAAACCCGAAGCTCGTGTTCGGATCGACGCAAGAGCGAAAACTGCTCCCCACGCTGCCCTCCGCGGCGCCGGCATCTCGTCTCGGCCTGCTCCTCCACCGGGACAGTTGGCCTGAGCTCGGACCGGGTCGATATGTGATCGAGCAGCGCACCAGCTTCACCCACCAGCTGGACCGGAGGCCCCGCAGCCGACGCGGCGTCATGTTCGGCGCCAGCACGGAGCCGCGACTGCTGAAGGCCGAGAGACGTCGGGCACCGTCCCCGGGTCGGTACCAGGCCGATCTCTGGGCTGACCTGAGGCCAGTGCAGCCTCCTCGCGCCCACTCAGCCCCACCCAGCGTCAGAAGGGCACCGTTCGGTCGAGCGTCCGATAGATTCTACGAGCCGCGGCGTGCCAAGGACCCGTGCACTCCAGGGGTCGGCACATACCACCCGGAGGGATGCATTATAAGACGGGAGCTGCGCAAGCAGCACAGCTTTGGCGGGAAGATCGAGGTGGTGCCATCTGTGATCGTGAAATGTGTCGTCAATAACTCCGACGTTTGTAACGTCTGCGGCGAGAGGCCGTATGGTGACTACTATGAGAACGGTAGGGACCACCTGTGTCGAGCGTGCTACCAGCGTATCCGACACGCGTCTCCCCGCGCAGCAGCGGAGGTCTACAGCCGGCAGCAGCTGGCCGCCTTCCGGAAGGTCCGAGGCTGCAGTGAGATCCACCGGCACGAGAACACGGATGCCGCGCTGCAGCTGAAGACGCCCCGCGAGATCAACAGACTCCGCAACAGGGAGGCCTACTTGAGCCTGTACTTTTGAGTGTGGGGTCGTGCCTGGACCAGTATTTGAATGTACACTACTCTTGGTCCGGTCTAGGCAGGTGCGAAGCAGCTCACAGAGCAGGCACAGCGGCTTGTCTGACGTATCAACCGCGAGCAATGCCCACACTGAGTGCGAGTCTGTACAGATCACATTCTGTGCTAACTGCCATACGCTACACGCAGTGTCTATCTGTGCACATTCGGTGGCACGCACGATCTAGTGTGCCGATTTGTTTACCCACTGTTACACCAACTGGTAACCGTTCAAAGGCGATCTAAGAAGTCGTATGAATGAGTGCATGTTCCACGGCTCACGAGATAAAATGCATAGAAATCGTCGTCTCTGCTGTGTTTTATCACGAAAACGCACGTTAAACACTTTTGGTAGTGTTGTATTGATTATTTAATTCAATTTCATTTGGTCCATTACATTTACTCATTGCGTCGAATTGCATGGGGTTCATTCCAACGAAACAAAAGCGAACACACGCCGTCCTCGGGTATCACAAAAAGTGGCATTCTGTGCAGAAAAAGACAATACAATCAGCAGCAATCAATCCTTCAATTCATTGTTCGCTATCGCTAACGCAATAGTTCAATTCAGCCCAGGCCCCGCTCAGAGCCGGGCGCACTATACGCTACACGGCGGCCGGCCACGGCGCGACCAGCTACTACCTACAGTCGGCAGTGGGTCAGATGGGAGAGATTCGGGCTGCAAACGCCCCACATCAGTCAGGTGGGCACGGGTGCACCGCCCTCAGAGCCGAAACACATCATACAGAGGTCAACGGTGGCAAAGATCATCGTGACTCATCACAGCGACAACATGAACTCACACACGCACGCACGGACTATCAGGTCAAACGCTCGGCACATCGCACCTGCCACGCAGGTACGTCGAGGGGTCACTTCCAAAACACGGACAGCAGGAGTGGGACGAAGCGGCGTCGGCGTCCCCAGCGTCGTCTCACGTGTCCGACGCCACACACTCACCAACACGTGTCAGAGCCACGGCCCGCCCGGGCGCTCACCAGAGGGCGTTCACGTCACGCAGGATCTTCACCTCGCCCTTACGCTTTGTAACCGACAGCGCCTTCTTGATGGCGGTCCAGTCCTCGAGCACGTCGTTGTCGGAGAGCATGTAGACGATGTAGGGGCCGGTGACGGTGACGGGCCGCTTCTTTCGGCTGCCGTCCTCGGTCTGGCTGGCGCGCCGGCCGCGCCGGCCGGTCCGCTCCTCCTGCCACAGGTCGGACGTGATGTCCACGTGGCGACGGTCCTCCTCCAGGCGACGCGCGCGCTCCTCCAGGTCCTGGCGCACCTGGTCGTACAGCATGCTCTTGCTGGAGCGCCAGTTCTGCTCGGCGGCCAGCATCTCCGAGTCGTAGCGGTGCTGCGCGTTGGCCAGCCGGTAGCACTTGAGGCGGAGCGCCACCTCCTGGCGCGTGCAGTGCGCCTCCTCCAGCTGCCGGAGCGGAGTGAGGAACTCGGGCGCGGTGCCGGCGCGCACTGCCGCCAGCCGGTCGTCCAGCAGCGCCAGCTTCTCAGAGAACAGCTGCTCCTTGAGCACGGCGAACTGCTGCTCCAGCTCACAGAGGTGGTCCAGACACTCGTTCTTGCGGACGAGGCACTGGTCGAGGTCGAGGTCGGATGTGTCCGTGTCGGAGCCGTGCGACGACCCCGAGTCACTGGCGCTGCTCTCGTCCTGCTCCATCTCACCGTCCGACTCCTCCTTGTTGGTCGGCATCGCGGCAGCAGAAACTGTGTAACATAACAAACACCGAGTTCACATTGGGGCAATGTCCCAATTCCAATGGGCAGAGGAAGACTTTAAACAGAGTGGGAGAAGAAACACATCTAGTGTCATGCATGAACTATTGATTTTAATATTTTCAAGCGACCAGTAGTTCGTATGAGGCCCGAATTACACAGCTATCAGACCGACCGCCGTTCGCTGTCAGAACGACAGTCGTCCACTGTGAGATCAACAGCTGTCAGCTGTCATGACAATAGTTGTTGTCCACTGCAAGTGACAGTTTTCCGTTATCACCGACAGTCGTCCGCCGTCAGACCGACAGTCCTCCGCTGTCAGACAAACAGGTTCCGCTTTCAAAACAATGTTATCACCTGTCCGTTATCACCAACAGTCATCCACTGTCAGATCGACAGTGGTCCGTTGTCAGAACAACCCAATGGCCAGCTGTCAAATTCAGCTCGCTCCATTCAGTGTGGATTAGGACCCGACTGGAAAAAAATGCCTCCACTACGCTGAAGTTCTCGGCGGAGGTGATGCGCCGAAATTTCGGCGCAAGGGTTTATGCGCCGAAATTATTTTACCAAGCCATGCTTCATGCGCCGAAAATTTTCAAGGCTTACTGATGGCTGCAGGCTGTAGCCACGCACTTTTCGTCGGGGGGGGGGGGGGCTGGCGTGTGTGTGTGGCTGTCTCCCAGTGACTACTGTCTACAGACGGTTGTTGGCACGGTCGACGGGATCGGGCAGACAATAGACATCAGCAGGCCATGCGGGACCGAGCACCAGCGTTCGCTATCACAAAATCTCCTGACTCACAAACTCACTGGCATGTTCCATAACGTAACCTTTATTTTGTTGCCCGGCTCTGATCAGCAGTATGTGCCCAGCCGGTGACTGACGCCTGACGGGGCCTTCAACAGGCGTGGTGCAAGCACGGCCGATGGGGTCGGGCAGATACCAGGCCACGCGGGACCGATTGCCAGCGTCCGCTCGCAAATCACACGCCGGAAATACAGGAATCACAACGGTCAATACGCAAACGATAGCATACGTTATCTGAACTAGGGGATCCGACAATCCATAACCTCACTCTTGATCGGTGGACTGTTCCCGCCGTGGGAGAGTCACAATCAGGTTCACTGAACATGACTTAAATACCCTGAGACGAACGCGAGACAAGATAAGTGATATTTAAGATGTTTAACTCCCGAAGACATTTAACCCTCGCCGGCCGAGGGGGGTTGGTGCCACCCCCTGACGGGTTTTTCGCGACTGCTCCGGAGCCGTTTGCGATAGAGGGATAGAGAAAACCGTCGATTTACGCCGAAGTACGCCGAAAATTTCGGCGCAAGCCGTCGATTTACGCCGAAGTACGCCGAAAAATTTCGGCGCAAACGCCCAACTACGCTCAAGTTCTCTACGAAAACGTGCATTTTTTCCAGTCGGGGATTAGGATTTTCAACACATGCAAACCACTGGCTGCTGGAGCCCTTATCTTGATATCATAATACATGCTGACTTTACAAAACAAAACTTCAATCATTAATATACTTAAATTAGCTTAAATACAAATTTCGCTGCAATGTTGAAATAAACTGACAGAACCTGAGACAACACTAGACAGAGACTGTCGCCTTCCCCTAATCCCCCACATTCCCTGCGATCCCCAACCATTACAGCAATTTCTGGTACCTAATCTGTTAACTTTGGAATTTGGATTCAAAAACTTAAGTGTGCCCATGAAAGCCAGGTGCTGTCCCTTCAATCAACTAATCATGGCTGTTATTACCAACAGCAAAGTGCAGACCATACCTGTGAGGAGTAAAGTGGTTGGTTTTGGATTAAGCACCATTTCCAGTGGCCCAAGTGGAATCATCCACTGGAACCTCTCATACCAATGCTGTTCCAAGCGGCCAAGTAGTGACATTTTTTAAAAATAAATTTATTCTGAACCTTCTGAATGGAAGGATTCACAAGGACAGAGCCCCCGCTAAGCAAAGCTTGTTGCGTTGACCCTGCCCTCTACCCTCCAATCAGGCAATTCCAATTCTATGGCAGAATTTGGAGTCCAAAGTTAAATGTGCTCACAGTCTGTGCACGGGCAGTCCCCTCATCGACTTTGCCTGGCTACGGCCCGCCACCAACCGCAACCATACCTGGCAGGAAGCTCATAAACATCAAGCGCCCGTCATGCTTCAAATCTAGACTGTTATAACTGAGAACTCGTGCTCTCACCACGCAGAGTCCAACGCTCTACTGAACGAGCTATGCCAGGTGCATTACCCCACCCAGGAATGGAATCCGGGTGGCTGAATCTCCCATGAGAAACCTGTGAGGGGTGTCATACTGTGAGGAGTGAAATACCATACTGTGATGACTGAAACTATCCTATTGCTATAAAAAACAAAATGGAATTTAGACAGGACGATTGGCCTATAAGGTCCAGTCCAGCCAAGTTCCCTTGTACGCCTTCTACGTTACCTAACATAAAAAGGACAACTCACCAGATACTTAGCACAAAATATGATGAAACAAAGATCTTATAAATAACTATTAACGGTTCAAATCGAAGCTGAGTGAAAATCGTCCTACACCTCTACTTTTCACGTTTTTCTTGCGTTTTTCACTGAATCGTGGGAATGGCCAAGGAGTATGGAATGGACTGTTGGGCTTGTTCAAGGCAGTGTTCAAGGGTCCATCGCACGCATTGCACACGGCATTTGGCTTAAAGTAGAGAGAATTTACTCCGAATTGTTTCGGCGCTACGGTGATATTTTGCATTTAACATATACATTTTGACAGATTTTGACGTTGACATTGGTCCTAGCACATTTTGTGCAATTCATTTTTTCGCAATGCGTCATTTGCTTTCAATGGATTTTTCAAAGCTTCTGCTCTGACATCATTTTCGTAAAGAAATGAACATTTCAACGAGACTTTTTGTAATGGCGCAGAACAGACATTCACAGTACTGCCCACAGTTTTCTTTAAAAAATCATGACATCATAAATACTGTATGCTGATTGGTCGAAATGAAAACGTATAGGAAACCTTCTGCAGTCATTGGCGTTCAATATGACGACAAAAGATCCCATCATTTTTTTTTCATAACCGGCCACGACCTCTTCGAATCCGATATTGGATACACGCCGATGGCGGTGCAGGTGGGAGTGGTGAAGTGTGTGGTGCAAATTTTTCGTAGGAAAAGGAAAAGGGCCACCTTTAACATGGGGATTGAAACTGAGATAGCCATCTTGTAGCCCGTGTCCAAAAACCTCTCTGTCTACCTCCTTACGGCCGATTTCGGCCTCCATTCGTAGTTATCGGCAATTTTAAAAGAAAATATGCCAGGGCCCTGTTTCACCGGTGATAGCAGCACGCTGCTATCAAATTGCGCGAGCTGACGTAATGTGATGACGTCATACTGCTGACGTAAGGGGCAATTCTGGCGCACGATTGCCGCAATATTGTTTTACGTCATCAGCTAAATGTTCGAAGTTAATGTCCAAATTTTTCCTAAACCCAACTTCTTTTAAATACATCATATTGAAAAAAATATATATCAAAAATATATATACTATCATGACTGCGTAAACTCTTACTTTTAGGCTCATACGTCACTTAATGCCGCCGCCAAGGTCGCGGCAATCGTGCGCCGGAACTACCCATTACGACAACAGTATGGCGTCACGACATGACGTCAGCTCGCGAAACGTGATAGCAGCTTGCTGCTATCACCGGTGAAACAGGGCCCCGGAATGCGTTCTTATCCCAGGAATGCGTTCTTATCCGACAATACAGCCACCCGCGGCGAGGCTTTGGTTTTTAACCAATCAGCTTGCAGCAGTACTGATCAGGCACGGATCCCTGTACTAGCGAGCAGACCACGAGCAGTTGCGTTATTTTTCGTTGTCTGTTCTGGCAATCGGCCGGCGGATGAACATCCGCAATCGAATCTTGAAATCCGTCGCGCTGATTGGTGATGAGTTTCATGAGCTACTTTCATGAGGTCTATGAAAGTAAACCTATGCTATGCCCTGAACAGATGACATCTCGTTTGGTAGCCAATTGCAAGGCCGTATATAGAGCCAATTGCAAAAATGCATTTTTATCTTACGCAATGCAGTATACCATATTTTATACCGTGGCTCTGATCCGAAATCAGGGCATTTTTGTTCGAACAAATACCTATAATAACGATGAAGAAGTGCGTGATCCGCGGAGCAAACGACCTACGTCGGGTCGGGACTGATATGCGTGTGACTGACTGTGCACAATTAAGTACCTAGGTACCTATAGGTAGGTACCTAAATTCTTATTTATTGCAATGGCTCTTCTATTACTTTTGTTTTCACAGAACTCTCCCCTGGATTAGCAAACCCTTTTGAACTGTTCAGGCTTTCACAACTGAAATGCCAGACTGGATAAAAAACGCAAGTTATGCCGAATATGTCATGCGAAGTGGCGTGATTGCGGCGTTGCCCCGAAAATTTCATCGCACATCCAGCATAATTTTGCATGCGTCAAATTCAGCGCATGGTGGCAGCTTAATTTTTAGGCGCAGGGTGACCGCATGGCGCATAATGTTTATGCAAATGGCTGTCACCGAATTTTTTGACACGCTGTGGTCAATCTAGCAGCAGACTTGCCCTGCGGGCGCTGGCAGGTCTGAAGAGAGTCGGAACTTCCGGCCTGGGCCTTGTTTCACCTTAAGATTCTACAGTGTGCCACACAAATTGTGGTATTGGGTTTTCATGGGAACATTAACTAATTCAGACGCTCAGAAAGGGAAGAGCGTCTGACTCCGAGGCCCCGGAACGATCTGTCTGGTTGATATAGTCTTGGTCGGTAGATATGCACATGTGCTTTATGTAAAAGTGGCTTAATTTTGGTGCAAACAGGCACCCAACTTTCAGTGGAAATCATGCACTGGAATTTCAGCTCAAAATTGCTTGCTTTAAATTTTGGCGCATGAGGGGCTCACGGGCATCCGGCGTAGTGTATGGATGTTTTCCAGTCTGGCTGAAAGGCAGAACTCAGACACATTTATCCAGCCCTTCAAATCCCATTTCCTGGTTGTGGTAACACCTACCTTTCCATGGGGGTTTGGTTCATCTCTTGTCTACACAGTTTTCTTTCACTTATGTGCTGACAAGAAAAGGAAACTCACCAGAGCCCAGTTTCACCAAGTGCGGTAAACTCAATTTGGGGTAAACTACCAAACTACCCCACTACTTAACTACAAAAACTACCCCAAAATTAAGTTTACCGCACTTGGTGAAACTGGGCTCAGTGGAGCTATTCAGCTTAATACACAGAGTACCGTAAACCAGAGCAACTTTGGTCCATCGGTGCAACTTTGGTCCACCATGGAAAAGATACTTTGCTGATTTTTTAAAAAATCCATCGTAATATTCGGGACATTTTTTCATGCAGGCAATTTAGCCCAATATGTGCCCTAACTATGTGTGAACAGACCTGCTTTTGTTATGTGACCTTGACAGCAGCAGAATTTTTATAATAAAAGCCTTGATTTTGGCGCAAAAAACAGAAGCTGCTAGGATGATGTAAGGAGCGGAACTGGTAAGAACTGGAGCGACACTGGCTATCTAGACAGTAAGTACCTACCTACATGAGTTCTCTAAAGGCTTAGAGGAAGAAAGCCCCCCATTTTCTTTTTATGGTCATTTTTTAGGGGTGGTGGTCAAAGTTGCAAGCACTTTTTCCGTCAAAATGCTACAACTTTGGTCCACCAGGAAATCATTCTTAGGAAGCTTCTCATCACTATAGCATACTTTTTTCGTCATTTATGACAGTCAATGCTGTGAACAACAAAGTGAAGGACCAGCTCCAAGCAGGAACAGCATTCAAGTTGGTGATTTTGTAGAGTTCCTGTACGAAGGGAGGGTGTATCGGGGTGAGGTGGTGGCTGTCGCAGATGATGGGCCGAAAATCCGTGCCATGGAGCAGTTTGGTAATAGGTTTAAGTGGCCTAGGCATGATGATATTCTTACCTACTCATTCAGCGATGTCATCCGCAAGCTCCAGCCTCCCATCCCGGTTGGCACCCGTGGACAATTCACCTTCATTTGTTAGAGAACTGTCAAGTGACTTCTGAAGGTGCTGAGTTTTGTGGTTCTTACTCAGCCGCTCATTTAAAAGCCAGAGTGCTCATGTGATTTTACTCCATCCAAAGCCCGGAACAGCCGTTCACTGTGAATCTGTTGCCCCATTGTAAACCAGTGTTTCTGTGATTGTTTTCAGCCAGTTGAAGTCCTGGTGTGTCAGGATATTTTTTAAAAGAACTTATGTGGACCAAAGATGCTCTGTAAAATACCATTTTATTCGTTAGCATTGAATAAAATAGGATTATAATCAGTGGTACAAAGTTCTAAAACCCCTCTACAACTTTGACCACTTGTTCAATAAAAAAATAAAATAACTCAAGATGCTAGCATTCTTTTGCTCTAGAGCAAACTGTTGACAAAGGTTGTAGCTTCCACCTTGCAAAAAACTAGCCAGATTGGACAACAATTAAAAAAGATATTCAACAAAAACCTAAAAAGTGGTACAAAGTTGCTCTGGTTTACGGTATGTGTTGCATGGACTAAGCATGTGTTGACCCTTTTTTACTTTTAGGCTCCCGCTAAAAAAAGAAGTACAGAGAAAAGTGGATGAGGGTGTGTGGCATGACCAATGAGCCAAGACCACATGACCACTTAAACTTAACAAGAAGTGCGCACCATGATAAGCACAGTCAAAAACGTTTGCGTCTAAAGAACAGTGCTGTGCCGGATCAGAATGTAAGTTATTTTTTAAAAGTGATGAAAATGCCTGCAAAGTTATCAAAAGACTTTGAATATTGTTTTTGTAACACTTCACTCTAAAGTTATTCCTAGTACCAGACATTACAGCTTTAGTGCAGAGTCTTTATTTGTGATATTTTTAGCCAAAAATTATTACTAGTACCGAGCCCTTACAGCTTTACAGCCCTAGTACCTTGCCCTTATTTTTTATATTTTTTAGCCATTTCAACCTAACCGAATATCTGTATGTTGGTATGTTATTGTTTTGATCTGTATTTTATGCTACCTCCCTATAGGTAAGTTTTATTAAAACATGTGGTAACGGTGTGCTGATTTTTTACAGATTCCGTATACGCCTTGGGTTGCTGTCGCTGCTCGGTCACCCACAGATGAAAGTGATCAAGAAATGGACATCACTCAGGTAAGATTCAAGCGTCCTTTATTTTACACATAATACACTAAGCAGTAGCACCCTAACCGCAACATATGGGAATGCATTGCCTGGTGGGTGCCTACTGCCTACCTGTATGCCAAGTTTCAGCTAAATCGCCCCAGTAATTACAGAGTTATTGAAATGGGAACAAATTCGGCACCTCTTCTTTTTGCATTTTGCACGTGCAGTGGGGGTCACTCACATAGATCAAGAGCATCCGACCTTTGGTTGAAGGGGTGCAGCTACCCTACAAAATTTACCGCAAGACCGCCCAAGCGGCTGCTGAGATAAGCCTCTCAAAATCACTTCTTTTGCAACTTTTGACAAATAACACCCTTGACTTTTCACGTGGCACGTGCCACGACGGTCCCTGTAATGTATCAAGGGTAGTCAATTACGGGGTAGAGGGAATAGGGCTAGCCAACAAAAAAAAAAGACCGCAGGCCAATCGGTCCAGCGGTTGCTAAGATATAAGCCTCTCAAAAGCGTTACAGGCCGGGCCGGGTCGGGCCGCTCATACTGAGCTTTTTCCGTGATATTGAAAAGACTTCGCTTCGCTCGCTCGCTCGTAATTAACAATTCATGGTTGACTATATGGATTAAGCTAAGTGATTGCGCTCTATTAGCACACTATCTAAGTAGCCCTTAATTGCTGCCGGTGCGTGGACTGTGAAAGTGAGCCGAGCTGTGACGCAAACCGTGCGCCTTTTCAGGTGTGGGATCACTCGTGGAATTTCACGGCGGATACGGAGCCGTGCATGCAGCTCTGGTTCGATCCTGCTCAGGGAAGCCCCAATGACGCCGTGGCGCGCATCTGGGCTGAGCAGGTGGTGGCGGCCGGTGCGCGGGCGCTGCCGCGTGGCTGGTGGCCGCGGCCCTGGCGGCAGCGGCCCGCTCCTGACCCGGTCGCCCCGTGCCGAGCACAGAGCGCCGACTGAGGTCAGTCTTGTGATCGAGCTTCCGCGCCGGAGGTGGAACAGGTGGAGCTGGCGGTCACCTGCGCGGGCTCGGCGGCCTGTAAGCCGTGCCGAGACGAACCGCGACACTCTTGCTAGATCTGCACCCCATTGTAATCTTCTGTAGTCGATATTCGGTAGGTACTCAATGCTCATTTTTCTGGTATTAGACGAGTGGCGGGTTTTGATGTTACATTGAAGACTGCTGTCTCGGGTGGCCCGACAGTGTTCGATTGTGGTGTAATGTAGATACATAGACGGGATGCCGCGGCTCGGATTCGTAGCTGGACTACCATGTGCCTGTCGATTGAGATGCTTTGCCTGGCGATTGAGATGATTCGGGGCGCGGCCCCACACTGACGCCATGGTGCAATGAGTGACTGGCGACAACTAAGCAATTATGTACTTTTGTAGAACACATGTTTTCATGGATACGAGAGGCAGTCCTTTTTTCGCTAGCAGTCATTTGGTTCACGATACTTCCGATACCGACAAATATGTTCGGGCGGCCGGTCCGTCCACAGCTAATGCGTGCTTGCCCGCCGATGCCTAACGGAGCGCTGTGCCGTCTACGCTCACTGGTCGCTGGCCCGAGAGCCGTTCGGTTGCTGCTGTTAAAACAGTTCTCACAAAAACACGCTGGCTGGCTGCCAGTTCTTCACCAATGAGAGGCCCAGTAGCATCAGCAGGTAGCATTGTTTAATATTACTATTCCATTTTGTTTACCCATATGTCCGACCTAGAGCCGACTGGTAAAAAGCGGCAACCGAGCAGCCCTCCGCAGCGCTGCAGATCATGTACGCTCGATTATACACAATATATGTGTCTTTCTTGCACACAGAGACATGACGTTTTGTAGAGCTTTTATATCGCTTGTGGCTGAAAGGAATATTGTACATTTTAGAGCTTTCATATACGCGAGAAAATATGGTGCAAAAAAACATTTATGAAGCCTGTTGAATTTTAAAGGTTGTTGGGGCATTTCACAGACTGTGTCGGTGGGCAGGGCAGCCCGGCCCCGGCCGCCGCCGCCGCCGCCTCCTTCACTGGTATGTGGCAGGGACGGAAGCTTCGTATTGATATACCGGGGTGCAACTCAAGCAGCATATCACCTATCAAACAACCTTCGGTTATGAAGTGAATGAAAACTAAATATTATGTATAACTGTGATCTGCGCTGCGGTGTTTCCAAAGTGGAGGAAGTACGGGGAGCTGGACCCGGACTCGATGAGCCCTCTACTACGGATCTGGGTCTTCGCAGCTGATCGTCTGTGAATGAGAGATCATATGATACCAATGCATACCGAACGGATCAAAAACAGTGCCATTATATATTTGCAATTCTACAGCTTTACGTAAGCCCATCCTAGTGAATGCATTAATACGCGTTGATTTGACAACTGACATCCGGTTGAAGGCGTTTTTTTTCGGCCAACAGCCGGCCAGCAGTTGTTGCAGGCCGGCCTCGTTGGGAAGCAGGTTCATTTTCCGACAGCCACTGCGTGCGGAAGCACTCTCTGATGGCGCGGACGGCGCGCGCCGGCTCCTGTTTCTGTAACGTGTAGAGGCGGGTGTCGAGCAGCTGGGCGCGTAGCGGGCGGTCCTCGAGCACGCGGAACGCGGCCGGCTGGCGCGGGTACAGGCTCCTAAACAGCTCCCTAAACAGTAGGCCCGAGTGGTGGCAGAGTCGAGCGTCGCGGCGCGGCAGAGCGCGCGGCGCGGCCGCCGTCTGTTCCAGCTCGGCGTCGGCGCGCCCCTCGGCGAACAGCAGGTGCAGCTGACGGTCGGCCAGGCAGAAGCCGCTGATGCCAGGTGTGCTGACGTCGCCGGGCCGGCGCGGCGCGGCGCCCTCGGCCGCCGCCGGGCTGGGCGGCTCGTTGAGCTGCTGGATGAGCTGCAGCACGCCGCTGCGCTGCAGGCCGCGCTGCGAGACGACGGCCAGCAGGCGGCCGTAGGCGCAGCGCGCCGGCGCCGGCCGCGGCAGCAGGTCCAGCGGCACGGCCAGCGACACGGAGACGGACAGCTGCGCCGCCGACTGCAGCAGCTGCAGCGGCCCGAACGGCGCCGGACACGTGCCGCGCTCAATGTCGGCCGCCGGAGAGGCAGCCGGTCCGGCCGGCACCGCTGTCAGCGGCACCTCCACACTGAGCAGACGCACGCCGCGCGTCAGGGCAGAGACGTCCACCACCACCTGCCGCGCACACAGAGGGCCGACAGTGGTGACAGCGCGCGGCGGGTCAGACCTCACAGTGGGGATAGCGGCAGCGGGTCAGACACCCTTATAGAACAGCACGGGGCGGAGCCGACAAAAGAGGACGAGGAGACGGTCATACAGCCGACTGAGGTCCGGGCACCGACTGACTCAAAGTGCTGAACATGTCACACATTTCTAAATGGCTTCTGTAGGACGGAATAGTGTCTCTTCCTTCCAAGGCTTACTTGCAGAATAATATGGAAAGACACAATTTTACAAGTTGTGTTTTTATGACATAAGTTCTTTATAACATTTCAACACGCAAACATCATACCTTGACAATTGTTCACGATGAAGATCATGCAGGAACATTTCATATTTAGTCACCCTTGATTATTTTGTTGATAGTGATGCGAAAGGCAAATTACCAAAGCATATATTTGCAATTATTTGAGTTAATAATTTCAACTTTTTTGTGTTGAAAATTGACTTTTGAAACAATAAAGGAAAATGAATTATCAGTGTCTGGAAAGGTGCAATGCTGTAAGCTTCTTATTACATTCTAATTTATATCTAAAGCTTTGTGATATCCAAACTCTCAGAAATAACCAAGGACGTAACCAAGGAGGGGGGAGGGGCACGGGAGCCATGCCCTCGTGCCCCTTCCCCCCTCGGTGATGGCGATTTTTTTTTTAAAATAAAAACAGCTGTGACACACCAGTGTCCCAAAATTTGCCGATCTGGGTGAGAACTGACACCCAAAACGGCCGCAATTTTCCCCTCCGATGCGAAACATTTGGAGCCAATTTTCCACTCCTAAAACAGCCCTGAAACGTTACTTTTAATATAAATTTATTAGCAGGATTATCACTCCCAATTCACATTAAATATCTAAGTTTGTCCCACGCTCACCTGCCGAGAAACATACCTACAATTCTTGACGCATGTACAATTCATGAGTAAGCATGTTAATGTCGGGTTTTTCACACCTGAATTTTGCACTCTCTTCATCATTTTGGAGGTTGAATTTTCCACTCTGACACCCAGGACCAAAATAAATTTTGGGACACTGTGACACACCCCCAAAATAGTGGGCCTAATCAGATAAATTTTCCTTTTTTGGAGGGGGTACAACACTAGGCCACAACCTGTGACCCCCCCCCCCCGCCCCCCTGAGCAAAATCCTGGCTACGTGCCTGGAAATAACAAAGCACATCCTATCCTTTGATGTTGGACGCAAGAGCCAAGTTGCTACGCGCCCTAACCCATAACAACAACAACATCCTATCCTTTGATGCCACTTACCAGCAGCTTTGCGCACTACCAAACAGCCACCTTTGGGCCTTTGTTGTTCTTGTTTTGGGCATTGTCAGTGGTAACTGGAAATAATCAGACATGATGGTCAGAGTAGGGAATGTGACTACAACAAAAATCATTTCATTCCTATAAAATAGACATGATTTAATAGAAGACCTTCTTATTAAGAAAGTGTGTCATGGATACCAGCTAATCTGTATGGTATTTATCTCCAGTATTATCATATAGGTATAACAATTATCACCACCCGCCACCATTGAATGCAGGTTTTAGGTTGTAGGTTGTAGGTGGTAGGTTGGGTACCGGTAAAGCTGGTGTCACCGTCAGCGCTAACCGGTAAATGTGTAGATAAAAGGAATCTTAAAAACAATCTAACCTAACCTAACCTTACCTACTGACCTGCAACCTACCTACCCACAACCTACCAAACTAATATACGCTGACATTGATGCCAGCTTTACCAATGCCGTACGTTGTAGGTTGTAGGTAAGGCTAGGTCAGGTAAGATTATGTTTCATTATATATTTACTGAGAAGACGGCTGAATGCTCTTGAGACGTGGCTATACATTTACATTTTGTAAGTAATTTTCAGGTTTCAATGAATATTTCCTAGTGGGATGTTTTGAAAACCATTCTAAATGATGACCTTTAGCATTCCATAGTACTTTAAAGCTAATTAACCACATCGCCAATGCTAGGTCACATTGCATGCCTACTTCCACCGGCAGCTCCATGGGATATATGATAGGCAGGGGTAAATGGAATATTTTTTATTAATATTCTTGAAGAAAATTATAGGCATGAAAAGAAGATGATCTGCCTTTGAGATTGATATGTGATGCCTACTTTGGAGGAACATAATCATAATAATTACACAATCATAAAAAATGCAATGTAACCAAACAGCCGCTTATGCCGCAAAATGAGAATCAAGCCAATCACTGAGGACAAACAATTTCAAACCACCAAAACTATATTCTTGCTATTCACCAATAATCCTAAAATAGCGTTCCATGGCCATTATATCCATCTTTCACCCTTACCTTCGACAGATAACTAGCGCCACGGGCAGACACACGGGGCGACAAGTTGTTTACAACCGCTACAGTCCGACGAGTCTATCCTCCTCAAGGCTGATTGGCTTGAGTGTGACGTCATTGCTATGACATCATACAGTAGCTGCGGTAGAGAGTATAAACATAGTACCAATATGTTAAATAGTTTGAAATACTTTTTAGCGAATTATGCACTTCTGGCACCGGTTTTGAAAAGAAAATGGAAAATAATAATGTCAAAATAAAAACCAACGATATCTTCATATTTCAAGAAGGTGGCACTTTTCCTTTAAAGGACGTTTTTTCCTCCTTTCCTTTACCCCTGCCTATCATATTATAATTGTTGGACGCAAGAGCCAAGCTGCTACGCGCCCTAAACCAAAAGAACAACAAGTTTATAATTAGGCTCGAAGGCTGAGCTTGTCGCTGTGCTGCATAAAAATCTTTCTGCATTTTCACAATGAGGAGAGAGATTTAAAGGGACCCTCCCACCTTCAAAAAAGTTTATGAATTGGCATGAAAGTGATGTCGCTCGGTTCAGAAAGAGCGAAAACGAATATCTACCAAATTTCACCGAAAAATATTCACCGGTTTTCAAGATATTTGACTTTTACTTTTGTTTACTTTTTTGGGATCTCCGCTGTTTCTAGCGACTTTATTTTAGAAGTGCGGCGTTTGCGGCAGATGTTGCGCGCAAATAGCATATACCACCGCGTGCTACAAAACGTTTTAGTCAAACATTTAAAAATCGTTAGATATCTGCGCTGACGTCACACATTCAGAGGGGTATTCCTAAGCATTAGCCCCTCTGAATCAAAATGCTGCAATTTTGAAATTCAATATTTCCGATTTAAGGCATTTCTCGATGTTGTGAGTGCCGAAACCGGTAATTGTGAGCCAGGGACCCCATTTTGGCTATCTCAACTCAAATCTAATGTTAAGGTGGGAGGGTCCCTCTAAGAGGTCTTAAACAAAAGCTCAGTCATCTGTTTCAATTACTGCTCATCTCCTATGCATTTTAAAGGGACACTCCCATCTTAACATTAGTTTTGAGTTGAGATAGCCAAATTGGTGGCCATGGCCTGCAAATACCGGTTTGGGCACTCACATCGAAAAATGCTTTAATTCGAAGATATGGAATTTCAAACTTGCAGTTTTCGGATTCTAAGGGGCTAATGCATTGGAATGCCCCCTAAGAATTTGTGACGTCAGCGGAGATCTAACGATTTGTAAATCTTAGACTAAAACCATCGTTAACACGTGGTGGTATACGCTGATTTGCGCGCAACGTCTGCCGCTCTTTAAGGCTGCCAAATTATTGCTTCCAAATAAAGTCGCTAGTAACAGGGGAGATCCCAAAAAGTAAACAAAAGTAAAAGCCTAATATCTTGAAAACCAGTGAATATTTTTCGGTGAAATTTGGTAGATATTCGTTTTCGCTCTTTCTGAACCAAGGGACATCACTTTCATGCCAATTCATTAACTTTTTTGAAGGTGGGAGGGTCCCTTTAAACAAGTATATTTTGCTACCAAACTCAGAAAGTTTAACAGGCGCCTGGTTAGATTCTTCCGCGCCATTGCTTGCCTGTTTAGGTTCTTTCGCGCCATTGCTTGCCTGGTTAGGTTTTTCTGCGCCTCTCTCTCTCCCTCCCTCCCTCTCTCTCTCCCTCTCCCTCTCCCTCTCCCTCTCCCTCTCCCTCCCTCCCTCTCTCTCTCCCTCTCCCTCTCCCTCTCCCTCCCTCCCTCTCTCTCTCCCTCTCCCTCTCCCTCTCCCTCTCCCTCTCCCTCCCCCTCCCCCTCCCTCTGCCTCTGCCTCTGCCTCTGCCTCTGCCTCTGCCTCTGCCTCTGCCTCTGCCTCTGCCTTTGCCTCTGCCTCTGCCTCTGCCTCTGCCTCTGTGTCTCTCTGTCTCTGTGTCTCTGTGTCTCTCTGCCTCTGTCTCTCTGCCTCTGTCTCTCTGCCTCTGTCTCTCTGCCTCTGTCTCTCTGCCTCTGTCTCTCTGCCTCTGTCTCTCTGCCTCTGTCTCTCTGCCTCTGTCTCTCTGCCTCTGTCTCTCTGCCTCTGTCTCTCTGCCTCTGTCTCTCTGCCTCTGTCTCTCTGCCTCTGTCTCTCTGCCTCTGTCTCTCTGCCTCTGTCTCTCTGCCTCTGTCTCTCTGCCTCTGTCTCTCTGCCTCTGTCTCTCTGCCTCTGTCTCTCTGCCTCTGTCTCTCTGCCTCTGTCTCTCTGCCTCTGTCTCTCTGCCTCTGTCTCTCTGCCTCTGTCTCTCTGCCTCTGTCTCTCTGCCTCTGTCTCTCTGCCTCTGTCTCTCTGCCTCTGTCTCTCTGCCTCTGTCTCTCTGCCTCTGTCTCTCTGCCTCTGTCTCTCTGCCTCTGTCTCTCTGCCTCTGTCTCTCTGCCTCTGTCTCTCTGCCTCTGTCTCTCTGCCTCTGTCTCTCTGCCTCTGTCTCTCTGCCTCTGTCTCTCTGCCTCTGTCTCTCTGCCTCTGTCTCTCTGCCTCTGTCTCTCTGCCTCTGTCTCTCTGCCTCTGTCTCTCTGTCTCTGTCTCTGTCTCTGTCTCTGTCTCTCTCTCTCTCTCTCTCTCTCTCTCTCTCTCTCTCTCTCTCTCTCTCTCTCTCTCTCTCTCTCTCTCTCTCTCTCTCTCTCTCTCTCTCTCTCTCCCTCTCTCTCTCTCTCTCTCTCTCTCTCTCTCTCTCTCTCTCTCTCTCTCTCTCTCTCTCTCTCTCTCTCTCTCTCTCTCTCTCTCTCTCTCTCTCTCTCTCTCTCTCTCTCTCTCTCTCTCTCTCTCTCCATTATATATTATATATGTATATGAACCCATGAACTCTATAGAAATATGCACTTACTGCTGCAATAAAGTAGATAAGTGCCTTGGTATTTTGATTTTTTGATTGGTGAACCCATGCACTTGCTTTCAGATTTGCCTCGAAGTTTGAAGAGGGAACTGAAGAGTTCAAATATTTATTTGGCTCAACATTACTTTGAATATTCTAGAGCATAAATGGTGAGTACCAAGAGCAGGTCGATTTTAGTTAGATAATTTGTGCTGTTTAGTCTGCTTGAATGTACTGAATGGTTTTCTTACATTTTAGCTTCAAATATATGTAAAAAAATTATGATAAAGTATTCCAAAGACAAGAAAAGCAATCCATGTATGATGTACCTTAACTACCATAATGGTTTTATACCTTGAATTGCTGTTTCCTAATAGTACTGTTTGCTTCTCTTGGCTGCAGAGTATCCAGCTGAATTCAGATTACTTTATCATCAGATTACATATCAGATTACATATCAGATTATTAGTCACTTTATCAAAAAAGTGTGCAAACAGTGTGCTTTTATTCTTATTTCTTAATAGGTGATTTCTTGGTTACATTGGTGTTTCAGCCATAATCACCTGCCCTTTGTTGCTGGTTTGTATGACAAAGTTTGCACTTTGCAGTGCTTTCCAAGTTTAGCTAGAGGCTGCCTATCCTAAGCTGCGTTTTTATATTTTGAGATGCATCATCACTCTTGCTCCTCGGCGCTTGCCGTCGTAAGTTTCCGTCAATCGGTGCGGTACTGTCATTGTTACGTCACCGCCCTCTCTCCCCCTCCCTCCCTGCCTGACCCGCTCCGTGGTCCGACTTACGTCAGGCGACCTTCGGCGGCCGCGACAGTCGCAGGTGCGTGCCGCTAACCGGTCCACTCCATGTATACCGGCCACCTGACACCTCCCACCCACTGCGGTCCACTCCTCCCCGCCCCTCCCCCGCCGGGGCCGAGGGCGGCCTCCTCTCCGGGCCGGAACCCCAGTGGGCACGTGTCGGGAGCCGTGACGCGGCGGCCACACCCGGCCGGCGCCGGCCGCCATTGGCTGACGGCGGCCAGGGCCGGCCGGCCGGCGGCGACGTGGCCGCCGCGCCCCCGCCGCCGCCGCCGCCGGCCGGTCGCTCAGTGGCGCGCTGCGGCTGCTCGTGTGTGCACAGATGGCGTCTCCACTGAGCGGGCGAGAACTGCAGGCGCTGGACGGCTTCCTGGCGACGCGCAGCTACCTGTGCGGCGCGCGGCCCGGTCGGCTGGACGGCGAGGCGCGCGCGCGCGTGCCGGCCGCCGCGCTGACGGACGAGGTGCCGCACCTGCGCCGCTGGTTCGGCCACCTGAGCAGCTGGCTGCCGGCCGAGCTGACGGCGCCGCCACCCGACGGACTGACCCTGGAGCGGGCGCTCAGCGCCGGCAGAGAGGAGGCACGACAACAGGTACTGACGCCGCCCCCGCCCCCGCCCCCGCCCCCGTCCCCGTCTGTTTCTCTGGCTGTGTGCTGGCGCCGGTCGCGCGGCAGAGTCTGAGGCTGGTGGCCGGCGCGCGGCGGTTCGGCTCTGCGGGCGCCCACCGCTGCTGCTGTCCCTGCCTCGGCCGCCAGCGCCAGGTAAGGGCCGCCGGACCGGCAGACCGACACTGAGCCGCGGCTCTAACCAGGCACGACCTCAGAGCCGGGGCTGTGACCGGACATAGTCGCATGGCTGGTCCGACCGGCTGCGCCGCGATTATCGCCTGCTGTAACATCCGCGGCAGCTGACCGGGTTACAACACTTCGTACGTGCAGACTCGCTGTGCTCTCGCACCATTCTAGCTACCGCAGTGTCGCGAAATAATCACGGCACCTGTCGTCATTCTTGCGTCATCTCTCTCACATTCTGCCGCGGTAAAAACGGTGGTGCCGGCCGGCCCGCGGTGCCGGCACTTCTCAGAACTATTTATGTTGGGCAGACGGGCAGCTCACGCAGCTGAGACCGGTGGCTATCCGTAGCAAGCCATCTGTGGTAACGGGTTTGGTTAGGGCTTCGAAAATGAAGGAGGAAGTTTCCAATATGTCGATTGTAAAAGAATGCATGCGACTAACCTCAGCGCTGTCGTGTCTTATAATAATGATTTCAGTTTATTAAGATTCCAGTGTAAATATTTGCGTATGTCGTAAACTCAGATAGCCATGAACTCTAATAATCAATGCAGTCTGATCGTTTTCAGGACCGTAAGATCGTGATCATCAAACTTCTATTCTCGGGTCGCTATGTGACATAGGTAGTTTTCCAGCAATGTCTTTGCGGGTCAGTGGCATTTGGTCGTGCTTGTTTGAATAATTTCCGCTTTGTTTCGCCCTCGCTCTCCTCTCTCTCTCTCTCTCTCTCTCTCTCTCTCTCTCTCTCTCTCTCTCTCTCTCTCTCTCTCTCTCTCTCTCTCTCTCTCTCTCCCTCTCTCTCCCCCCCCTCTCTCTCTCTCTCTCTCTCTCTCTCTCCCTCCCTCCCCCATTCCTCCCTTTCCACTCCATCCTCTGCGGCGCCCCTGACCGAACCCTCTCCCCTGACCCCTCTGACCCTTGCTCTCTCTCCCTCCCCCAGCTGGACGGTGAGCTGCAGCGGCTGGCCGCCCTCCGAGCCCGCCTCTGCTCCGGAGACGCCTCAGACGGCGACGTCAGCGGCACTAACACGGGCGGAAAGCAGCGCCATGAGAGCTCCCGGTCAGCCGGCGCGGGCGGCAAACTCATCCTCAAGACGGCCAAGGGCACGCGCGACTTCCAGCCGGCCCAGATGGCACTGCGCGAGCGTGTGTTCGCCTCCATTGTGGAGACGTTCAAACGCCACGGCGCCGAGACCATCGACACGCCCGTGTTTGAGCTCAGGGTGAGTGACTGGGGAAGGGACCTGCGTGATTTAGAGTAGCTGGTAGTGGAGCGGCGACATCACTTGAACAGAGCTTTTCAAGCTGGACGCTGTACGTATGGGTGTGTTCAGCCCTCGCGGAGGTGTTTAGTACCGCCGCGGGAGTCGTGACACGCAGCCTGGTTACGACAGAGGACCAATGAGTTGCGAGTAATGGGCACGCTCGTGAAGGGTTGGCTGCCGGCTACCTCGCCACGCCGGGTGACGCAAGCGGAGCAGTCATGCGTTTTCCGCTACAGTCTGACGATGCCCGATATTATTTTTGTGGTTTTGAGAAGCTGTGCTAATTTTAGCGTGTCATTTAACCACGTTGAACACTGTAAGGTGCTTATAGCGTGCTGTAACATACAGCCATTTACATACAGCCAATTGTTGTAACGCATTAGGTTTAGGTCGGTCCTTACTTTCCGCCGATTTATAACCGATTTGCCTCGTATGGGCATCAGACTGTCGGCTATCGCCACATCTTCCTTACTCCCCCCCCCCCCTCCCTCCCACAGGAAGTGCTCACAGGCAAGTACGGCGAGGATAGTAAGCTCATCTACGACCTGAAGGACCAGGGCGGCGAGATCCTGTCGCTGCGCTATGACCTGACCGTGCCGTTCGCCCGCTACGTGGCCATGAACAAGATCAGCAGCATCAAACGCTACCAGATCGCCAAGGTGTATCGGCGCGACCAGCCGTCGCAGGCGCGCGGCCGCTACAGAGAGTTCTACCAGTGTGTGAGTACGGGGTGGAGGTGGTGGGAATGACTGTACCGGGTCCTAAGCGTTCATGGGGTTTGGTAGAAAGCAACCGAAGTTTGAGTCACAGCTGAGTTAAGGCCAGGCCGGGTTTGCTGCAATCATTGTATTGTAGTTTGAATTTCGAGTTATGGCACCATTGTCAGTTGATTATTTTCGTACCTTTCGCTCTCGCTGTATGCATTATTGCCTATAGACACCATGAACTTTCTGCTCGGTTCCGCACCACCTGACGGACTCTGTTCCGCTCTGCGGGTCAGGATTTCGACATAGCCGGCTCGTACGACCCGATGGTGCCGGACGCCGAGTGCGTGCGGATCGTGGCCGAGATCCTCGAGTCGCTGCAGCTGGGCACGTTCGTGGTGAAGGTGAACCACAGACAGATCCTGGACGGCCTGTTCGAGGTGTGCGGCGTCCCGCCAGACCAGTTCCGCAGCATCTGCTCGGCCGTCGATAAACTGGACAAGGTGAGAAGGGGATGGACGCCGGAACGTGGTGGGAAGGGGAATTATGATACTGGTGATGATATATGCATTGCGCATTCAGCAGCGTTGGTTGTAAATAGGACGTGCATAGGGTCCATAGCTAGTACGGTCATTTCGCTGTTACGTTCTACAATAGTGTGTTGACTGTTGACTATTGGGTTATTTTTTAATATTAGTCGGTGCTTGTGGCCGATATGTCCACCAGTTCGCTTGACATCGTTTGGGTTACGAAGTCTAACACCACGTCATAATAATTTGATCTTTGCTGACGTTTGTCACTAATCAAACTGGTTGACCTAATTAGCTGTCCCTAATTAACGACTAACCACGACTAATGTGCCGACATGCAGTCCGCTGACCATATCTCCCTCCCCACTTAGCTATCCCATAATGCACTAGGCGCTAACCATTCCCACATGCTCTCATTGACCCTGCGAGTATGTGCGTCTCGAGTTGTAGGCTGTAGCACATTTTGAAGCAGAATAGGCTTGTCTCAATATGCTGTGTTTGTGTTGTATATCAGATTAGGCCTTTTGCCCAAATGCCCATTCCCTACTCCATATGATATTGCTTCAACATTTTTAGTTGGCAATATTTTGCTCTCAAAACCAGATGGCGGATATCTGTTATCTAGTTATCATGTGGTACATAATAACATATACCTAATATAGATCAGTTCCCCCATCCTCTCTTTCCATATCCAGCTTTCGGACAGTTTTCGGACAAATCCATGCCTTGGACATTTTTCGGACAAAAGTGAGCTAGGATTTTAGACATTGGACGGACATCGGACAAGAAATTTCTGAAATTGACACCTCTAGTCTCGACCCAGTGCTTCTGGTTCTGACCTCCCCTCCCTCCCGTGTCCCCCAGAGTCCATGGGAGGAGGTGAAGCGTGAAATGGTCGAGGAGAAGCACCTGTCTCCGGAGGTGGCAGACAGGATCGGCCACTACGTCAAGTTCTCGGGCGGCCCGGAGCTGGTGGACACCCTGCTGAAGGACGCAGCTCTGGCGGCCAACAAGAACGTGTCGGCCGGTCTGGAGGCGATGCGCGCCTTCCTCGGCTACTGCGCGCTGTACGGCGTCGGCGGTCGGGTCAGCTTCGACCTCAGCCTGGCGCGCGGCCTCGACTACTACACGGGCGTCATCTACGAGGCCGTGTTAGAAGGCGGTGACGTGGGCAGCATCGCCGGCGGCGGCCGCTACGACGGCCTGGTGGGCATGTTCGACCCCAAGGGTCGCTCTGTGCCCTGCGTGGGCGTCAGTATCGGCATCGAGCGGCTGTTTGCCATCATGGAGGCGCGGGCTGACAAGGCTGACCAGAAGGTGCGCACCACGGAGACGGAGGTGTACGTCTGTTCGGCACAGAAGGGGCTCATGGACGAGCGGATGAAGCTGCTGACCACGCTGTGGGACGCCAACGTCAAGGTCAGTTACGGTGGGGAAGAATGTTGTGAGGGGGTATAGGACGGTCATGACAAGAATAGTGATTGATAGGGCAAACTGGGCGTATTCAGCAATGCAAAGTAGTGCTAGAATGTCGACTGTCCAGTTCGCGTAGGATTTGTTAGCATGTTGTAAAGCCTTGAGCTATTATAAACTATCGAAAAACTATCAAAGGTATTCTTCGATAGTGTTCCCTTCCCACTCACCGTTTTGTCTGGTCGATATCGACTTCGATTTTTCTTCTTTCTTTTTTTGCCACAAAACAGACCGATGTTTTCCGAAGGGATGGGGCTATTCGAATTGCACCATTTTCCCGAGCAATAGCAACCTAAGGGCTCGCGACATGCCATCTGACCCTCGCCTCTCACCACCTCCAGGCGGAGCAGTCGTACAAGAAGAACCCGAAGCTGCTGCAGCAGCTGCAGTACTGCGAGGACCACGGCGTGCCGTTCGCAGTGATCCTCGGAGAGAGCGAACTGCAGCGTGGCGTGGTCAAACTGCGCCACGTAGCCACACGCGAGGAGACAGAAGTGCAGCGGGACCAGCTCGTGGAGGTGCTGCGTGCGAAATTAGCCGCCCTCGGCTGACCGGCCGTTGCCACCCGGCCCGCCCGATCCAGACCAAAGGCTGCGTCCACGCCCCTGTGATGATCCAGCGCAATGGAAGAGCCACAGTCGGCTCTACACGCCGTGAAACGATAGTAATTTATTGCGGTTGGTTGTTTTTCGTGCGTGGAGGTGCGTTTTTACCCGCGTGATGCGGTTGACGGCGTCCTGAGCCCGGTACGAAGTGAAGTCAGTCAGTGATGTTCGACATTACGGGATGCGGCGCTGAGATTGTCTGTGGCCTGTGTGGTGTGTTTGACGCAGAAGCGCCGTGGAGTGCGCTGTGTGTTCCTTGTGCTCTGTGTGCGTCGATTTGTGTAAGTGTTCGGCCGCTCTGGCGCTGCCCCGAGGCGGGCAGGACCGCCACTCTGAGCTTGGCGGCGCTGTTCCTTGCCACCGGGACTGGGATGCCACGCGGGTCGGCGGCCAGCACTTTGCTGCCGCGCCGCCGCGCCGCCGCGACGTCTCACCATCATGACTCAGTGACGTCGGGACCATCCACCTCGACCGAACATCACGACGAAATACAGCCCGCAATGGGACCGAGTAGCAGTATCTGGCTGAGACTGGTGTGTAAGAATGGAAAAAATGTGGTTTGAAGACCCGTGACTGGTGTCTGGTGGGTTGAAGCATCAAATTCGAAAACGCCTATGTAGCTTAGTCTCTCTTTAGTAAGGTCGTGGCGGCGACAAACGCCTGAAGATATTGTATTCGTGTATTCAAAGTACCGAAACGTTACAAAATCGGGGGGTGCTCGGCGGCGGGCGCCCCTGCTGACTAGAGGTACCGACGGGCCGGCGGTAAGGCACGGGCGCCGCTCGCCCCCCGGCCGGCGGCGGCGGCGCGGCCGGTGACACCGGGCGACTGCTCCGCACGGCGCGGCCCGCCGGCCGTGCGGGCTGTAAAACTCCAGCCGCTGCCGACTCAGAGTCGAGCAGCTGCTGACAACCGTCACGCGGGTAAGCTCGGAGAGTTATCGAAAAGCACACACGTCGCGGCCGAGTCGGGCGAACGCAACCAACACACGCTAAAACTATGACCGCTACTAATTCGTTGTCGTCGACGCGGAAGTTATTCATTTGTTTGACTGCAATCCGATTGCACAAAGAGAACGTTACCACAGTGTTGCGTTCGGCACTCAGTTTGATCCGGTAAAATTTGCGCCGATTCTCGGCAGTACACACTCCCATAATCACACATCTGTTTAACACAAATTAAAGGGAACGGCTCAGAAGATATACGCAGTTCCCCTTGTAGACGGTCGCCACCACGTTAACAACTCTGGCGACACAGGCGACTGAAGCGAGCCACTCCGTCAATCAGGGTCAATCGTTCCTCGAACACGTAAAATCGAACTGGATCAGACAAGACAGAGCTGTATACCATATCTCGATAAGAATTCGTTGCATCCAAATGCGATGCTACAATCGTCTATAACTCGACTGAGTCGTCAGCCGGTCTTCGGACCGTTTCAGCGCCTGTTCAGCTCTGACTGAACAGTCCGGTCGGTGCTCTCAGCCCATGTATCCGGGCTCGATCAGTTTGTCCCAGTCGGTGGACTGCTGAAACACCTCTCGCTCCAGCCAGCGCCGGTAGTTGGCCTTAAAGGCGGGGGTCAGCTCGAGCGGCGCGGCCAGCACCGAGCTGAGCGAGACGTCCACCGGCTCCAGCTCCTCCTGGGAAAGGCACAAAGCACAGGAGAAAGGGTCAACAGAGGGTCAGAAGAGAACTGCCATACGTTTCGGTACCAGCTCAACGGTTCCAACTCCTTCTGAAGCCAGTACACTACACTCAGCGTACGTCTTCGCTATCAGGCACAATCAGGGAATCAGGATGAAGGCCGTTCCTAAGTTTACTTAGTGTGGAAAACGGCCGCAATGTTATTTTTTTTTTTAATTTATTGGTATTCACTGAGCAATGGTTTGTCGCCCTCAGTGCATTGCAAAAATCGTCGCATTACCATTGTCAATTTATAAAAGTGTGCTCGCCCGCATCGACGACTATGATCTATCGGTTATGTATGAAGGCAGAATAAATATACATGAATTAGTCATTTCGGTAGCCAGGGATAGATAACCTCTTCGCCACCAGAAACAATCACCGACCCGAGGTCACTGGGCCTCCAAAAGCGGCCCCACGGCCTCCTGACTGATACCACATTTCGTCAGCCCGCGACAGTCGTACCAGGCCGGCTGGATGTGCGTCACTCCCGGAGCAGGGACTTCCCCCTCGCCGTGGCCACTCACCAGGCTCTCGGGGCTGTACCGGCGGGCGATGAAGTGATCCACCTTGGAGCGCAGCGCCCGCTCCTCGGCCTCGTAGTCCCAGGGACGCGCGTCTACCTCTGGAGAACAGGAGGGAGGGAGGCGGGCGCGGGGCGGGCAGGGAGTGTCAATTTATGGGGTCCGGTAGCAACGGTCAACGATGACCCGGGTACTCGGTATTGGACGGATAATACAAACAGCTTGGGACACAATTATCATAGAATCGTGTCAGGTTAACTGGTTCTTGTGGGACGAGGAAGTTCAGAACTACCGTAGCAGTGACACGTAAATGATAAGTCAGCTCAGGCTGTAAAGTGTAACGAGAAGAATGTTCAGATATGCGACATGCGTGCTATTGCTTTGCAGTAGCATGCAATTTCTGAAACCAATATCCAGTTCCTGTAACGTCGGTGTCTCCAGGTCACCATGAAAAAGCTGTTTGGTGTCTCCTCATGACAGAACACAAGTCGCTCTAATTACACAACATAGTCTTTTGTTTGCATCTCTACTGGTCAATTCCAAAACTCTTATGTTTACATTTCGCTACATACCTTATTGCCACATCAAGCCAATTCAAGTCTGTTGCAGCCATTTGGTGATGTCTTCATAGTTCTGGCACCCAAAGCGGTAGGAGTGTAGCGGCATCAACCACTCTCCCCTTATACCACTCTCCTTGCATTTTGGCAAAAGTAGGCAGGTAAAACGGTGGCCATGGGACGCACTGAACACTTCGACAATCCTAAAAAAAGCGTATGGAGAGAACGGCACGACTCCCGTGTAGCTGGCACACCGGCACCCGAGCGGACGAATATAAGGGACATTTGGCGTCACGGACAATCACCAGACACTAGTCCGCACGAGGTTAAAGTCTCCGCGCACCAGCCGATGTTGATCGATGACGACGAGCATTGCGTAGTTTGTCGCACGGGGGCCCAAAGCACGGCTCGTGATGACGTCAATCGCTGGAGAAACCCAGACTGCCCTTCAAATATACATAAACTTACAAAGCATACTTATGACTCAGAGTCAGACCACAATATACCAGTGAATGTCCCAGCATCCCGGACGGACTCAGCCCAGACCCAAGACCAAGCTGAAATATTCCATTGAGCACAGACAGACACACAGGCGTCCTCTTACGTCACACGGTCTCCCGAACGCTGGACAAAATGCTCCCTTGCCGCAACACCCAATCCAGCCAAACAAGCACAGGCATAGTCGGTACCAGAATCCGCTTGTATAGCCCAGTACAAGCTATACAGCTGTTGGACTTGTAAACGAGCACAGAGGACATACACCCCATTATGTACATACCCTTGCAATACGCATAGAATCCCGGCGATTTCAGGTCTGCAAAATGTACGCGGGAAATTCACGTACAGAAACCGGTAGAAAATCCGACCCGCGGCCGAATATGACCATCGGCATCGAGTAAATAAAAGGCAAGACAATTTGCTATTGTACTGTATAACGTAAACGTTGTGAGGCACAGCTGAATATGCTCAAAGAAAGCAACTAAAACTATAGAGAAAGTAGGCAAAAAGAGGTAAAACCAAACTTAAATGCTTCTGTATGTATGCATGTATGTATGTATGTATTGACAACAAAAGCCTTCCACATAATGGCGTGGCGATTACGGCTTCTGCCAATTCACCGTTCCCTCAATCGTTCCCCAGTCCTCCAGCTGTAACCAGTCTCTACCTGTACCCAGTCCCACGTCCTCTCACCGTTTCCGAAGGCCCAGTCGTCCACCAGTCGGTGGCGCACCTTCGAGTAGATGGCGCTCACCGTGCGCATGTTGGACTTGCGCCACTGCCGGCCCAGGTACTTGGTCTGCATCTTGAGCAGCTTCAGAGTGTACACCTGGCGACCGGGCGGTGGGCGAGTCAGGGAAAAGTAGGGACGGTAGACCCAAGCACGGCACAGCGGGGGATAATCAGATAATACTCTGAAAGTGGACAAGCGCAGTTGTGACGATCAGCGGACCACCAGCTGTCGATATGTAGCTCGTCCACGGCAAAAAAAAAAACTATCAAAACTATCCGTGCTGCATCAAACAGAAGCATGTGATATATAGTACACATGGTACACATGCTTCTGTGATATATAGTACACATGCACATGCCGCCGATTTAGAAGTAGATGCTTCTAAATCGCCGGACAATGAGTATCAACTACAACACTACAATAACACCAGAGTGCCGCGGCCCCGCCGGTCAGAGATCGACTGATGCGTAGACTGCTGACTGACCTGCATCATAGCGTGCTTCACTCTCAGCGAACGTTTCAGGATGGGGGCCGACTTGAACACCACCAGCATCTGTAGAGAAACAGCAGAACACTCAGTTTTCTAGTCTGGTCCTTCCACGGCCGACCAGGAATGCCCGGAGACTCGTCATATGACAAAACAAGAAATCGGCATAAATACGTTACATGAAACTCCAAATCATCAGATGCATCAGTAATCAGAGCCCAGTGATACAAGGGACGCGCGTCGCCAATGAAAGTCTCACGACACATACTCTCCCCACGTCCCTCTCTCCTGTCCCACCCGGCCTGCGTCCACCCCGACCTCCTCCAAGCCTCTCTCACCATGATGCGCGAGTGTTTCCACTTGCAGAGTTTGTTGAGGATGCGCAGCAGGTTGATGGAGGTGAAGACGTTTCTCCAGCAGTAGGGCTGCTCGTCGCCCAGCTGCAGAGTCTCAGAGGTGAGGTCCACCTGCGGCCCCAGCACGCAGCGCGGAAAGTCCAGAGCCGAGATACTGAGCAAAGGACAAAGATTCAAGCTGTAAACCCACTTTAGTGTGCACGAAATAGACAAATGTGCAAAGAATTGACGGAAATGACTGCAAGTTGTTTCGGTAGCACAGCATGTCAGTTACAACTCTCACTATCGTCGCGTTGAGTGAAGATTCAATATTTGAATTTTACTAAGGCTCGTGTACGACGCACAAAAAAATACCTAAGCGCTAAGCTCCCTGCAGTGCAAATAAATATTATACATTTTGGCAGTGCGGATGGCTGATGCTATAAGCAAGTAGCCGAGCACGGAGTCACAAGTCTTTATGAAAAACAGTTAAACAAAGGGCCCTGAAGAAGCATCAACAATACAGGGTTAGTTTACCCAGCACACATCCACACCCCGTCGCCACATTCCGCGCACCTGTTTTTGGCGGTGACGTACTGGACGGTGTCCTGGTTGAAGAATTTCAGCACCAGCGGTATGCAGTTAGCGAACACCAGGTGCTGGCTCACGAACTCGAACTGGTAGACGTGGTTC